TTGGATTTTAAAGTTTTTCATGTTTCCATTGGATTTTAAAGTTTCCCAGTTTTTTCTACCTGGATTAGGACGTTTTCCATATAGTTGCTCCAGTTGACCAATAGATGTCAGTCTTCACCAGCATAACATCTTTAAATCATTTGAGTCTCCAACACCGTTGGCCGATTGCTTTTGAGCTCCAGCGTTCAATCTTTATTTTTTTAATTTTTTTTTTAAAAGGAGCTCCAATTGTAAAGTAAAATTGGGTAGATCACTGTGTTGTGATTCATTGACAGCCATACCTTCTGCTGTTCAAGATAATGATGACTGGTAGATAATTAGTTATTAGAGATACTGCATTTTAATTTYAGAAAGCGCAAATCCGCTTATGAATTATAAAAATTAGTAAGACCACTAAAGCGCAAATGAAATATTTAGGTCCGCAATTAGCGGATTTGCACTTTAGCGGGCTGGTGCCCACCACTGGAAGTTTGGTTTATCTGAGACGTACCTGAGGTTTCTGCCATCCTCTGTTCATCTGTCTTTACCTCTGATGCCTCCAGCAAGTCGCTCAGATATGTCTCAGAGAACATCTGTGACTGAGAACTGATGAAGGGCTTCAGACTGAGCGTGATGTCGGACAGGAGGTTCAGGAGTGCAGCCTCGTCCTGGAGCTCGGTCCATATTTTCGACACGGCTTTAAATAATGGCTGAAAAAGAATAAACATGTCATACGAAGTGAAAAGACCGACCTAAATCCAAATATCTGAGGAGTTTCCATGATAAAACTCTAGTCAGTGGACTTACAAAGACTGTAGCAGTTGATACAGCTGYCTTTGACTGCACAGTGTTTCTGAGCAGCATCAGCTGAGAGGACATCTCTGTCTGCAGCTTGTCTACATACTTAGTGCATAAACACACATCTGTCTGTAGGTTAAAAAAACACAATTTAACACTTATCATTACGTGAATAAATGCATATTATCTGCTACCATTTATTCCAGAGTTGAAGAGTGGCAAGAAACGACAAAGTTGTAACCGTTTTCATCCATATTTATTGTTTTTTTAAATCATCCTACAGGCTCTGACATGTTAGATAAATTTGAAAATGGGTTTTGAAAAAAATCCGTAAGACTTGAAAAAAATCCGTGAGATTGCTCTATACGTCCGTATAACTGCAAAATGACGTAATACCCTTATAACTTACGGACAATCCGTACAAGTTGACATGTATGCGTTTTGGTCACACCTTGGAATTGACGTAGCGTGACTTTGCAATAAAGCAACAAATCACTGATTTATTATCAGCAGAGGATGATTTTTAATGACACTCTGCTCGGGTTCCTGTCGGCGCCTCTTCCTGGTCTGGAGTGGATGTATCGCTGGCTGGTGGTGCCACGCACAGAGACATGATATACATCATATATGGAAAGCCAGCGCTGCCAAATCTACGTGACATTACGTGTTAATTTGACGCGTAAACGACGTAGATTTGGCAACGCTGGCTTTCCATATAAGACGTGAACAGATGGAACACCTGCTGAGTAGTTCCAATATTGACTTTTTAGGTCTCACTGAGACGTGTTTAACCCACACATCACCTGATGCTGTTGTAAATGTACCTGTGTTTAGTAATAATGTGTTTAGGAAAGACAGAAATAATGGCAGGGGTGGGGGAGTATTAATGTACGTCCGAAATACGCTTAAGTGCACATTGATTGAATGGCCAAGTGAAAAAGCTTTAGAATAGGTGTTGACGTATCACTTTCAACAACAATGTCTTTTATTATTGTGTATGTATTAGTGCTGTACCAAACGATTATTTTCTAATCGATTAATCTAACGATTATTTTTTCGATTAATCGATTATTAAATTAGTCATCGATTATTTTAATAATCGATTAGTTGTCGATTAATCGATTAAATGGTGCAGCCCTAAGCCTACAGCAAAAACGAATTTTTATGAACTTAAACTTCTACTCAACCACAAATAATTTTAATGGGTGATTTTAACATTAATTGGAATACTACATAAATGACCTTCCAAATGTATGATGATGATGTTATTTTTACATCTGCTAAAAGCACACAGGAAGCATCATCTGTTCTTATATTAGCCCTGGAGAATATTCAGCGTTGGCTCCTTAATTCTTGTCTATTATTGAACAAAAAAAGGCAGTTTCTGTGATGTTCAAAAAAAGACCCACAAAACTGCAGCGGTCCAATGTGTTCTTGGGGGGAGTGGAACTTGACCTTGTAGACGAATTCAAGTACCTTGGGGTCACAGTGGACCCAACACTTTCATACAAAAAACATATCAAACTTACTGCAAATACAATTAAATTCAGTTTACAAAATTTTAGGCAAATCAGATCATCAATGACAATCAGTTCTGCAAAAACGTTCCTCCACTCAATGGGCCTCATGCAAGAACATGTTTGTATTCTTATCCTAAATTTCTCTTACTTTTGTTCTAACAAAGGGTTCGTA